TGTTCGAACCTGGAGATCGCAGTGCAGACTTGGCGCAGATGGTCTACGCACCCTTTTTCCTTTTTTTTCATTTATTTTATTCAATTCGGTCTGTAAATAATTTTTTTTTTTTATTTTCTAGACTGAATGTATAGGATTTGATCAAGAATGTAATTAATTAATAGAAATAGAATTTCTATTATTTTTTTTTCTTGATTAAAGAAGAAGGAAGAAGAAGGTGGCGCTGGGGATTTGCAGATGGAGAAATCGCTTTCTATGATTTGCAGTTTGTAAAACTGCAACCCTAGTGATTAACCTCTGTTTTGCAGGTGGTGCGAACAGTCCATAGTTGATTTGTGATTGCTTAAAATCAAAATGTTTAATTTCAGATCTTTCATGAATTAACTCTTAATTGAAAATCAGTTTCAGATAATTTCGGACTAGATTGGACCAAAACTGTTTGGACCGAATCTAGGGTTCGAAGGGGACTGTTTTCAGTCCAATTTTTCTCCCTCTTGCAGTTCCAAATCTGATGTTCAATTACAGGGATTAATTTGGCCCACCTGTAAAGCCCAGTTTTAAATGGTTAAAACTRCAAAAGCCCACTATTGTGAGAAAAGTTGTATGGGCTGAACTGTTAACTGCGATTCAGCCCATATACCTAGTCAACATTAACTGTTAATGTTATGTTTTTAAATGGGCTGTTTATTGGGCTTTACAGCAGTTGATTGATTGGATCAATTCTTCCTTTACATGTGATGTTTGGATGTTTGATGTGTTGCGACCATGGGCCATAAGCACTCAGCCCATGATGACTCGTTAGTGGCTCTTGCGCACACCATGGCTGAATGCACATCATTGCCATGGTGTCCCTTAAGGTCATTGGATGACCCCTCCTTACTTGGTGGGCCCCACTACCCTGAAAAGGGATGCGTGCGGAAACCCTAGCCGATTAAGGCCCACCAGAAATCTAACTTTATAAAAGTCAGTGGGAGCCACTCTAGTTTGACCTAAATTAGAACTAGGGCATAATTTAGTTCCCTCCAGCAAATATGAGTGCATCTGATAGGGAGATCCATATGGTGGACTCTCTAAAGGCCTTCCGTCATTAGCACAATGATGGGTCCTTCAGTAATGAGGAAACGCACCATAAAATTGGGCTATC